TTAGTCCTGGAACATCAAGAGCCTCTCCAACACTGAGGCTAGGGGGGATAGTTGATCTCAGCGTATCAGGATAGTCAGAGCAACGTACAGGTTCACTCACTAATTGTTGCTGGCCTGTGACAATTACTTAATTGGACTGATGAAGAGAAATTTGTGTAGGCAGTCAACTTTTTGACTGGGTAGGTCTGAATTTCGTGCACGTCCCGCAGTTAGCAGAGTTATGCGTCCCTCAAGGGCTGCGTGCGCTGGAGAATGTAGCAGCAAGCTCGACATCTGGGCTCCGTTACGGGATTCTTGACACTGGATTCAAAAGGAATCATGGAAAAGCAGACGGGACTGTGATGGGGCTCATACGAGAGGCCCAGCAATTTCGGAAATGCAGGGGTTGCTGGCAAAACACTTATATATTTCAAGATGTGGAAAGAAATACAAGCCAAAATGAGAAAACGAACAGAAAAATAAATATATGCTAAGGATGTAAGGCAAGTGAAGCAGCATCAGTGACAGTTGCCACCACAGTAAATAATCCACCACTGAGCAGTAAGTACTAGATTATGTGCCAATATTATATACAAGATGCCTGCAACAGTTATGAAACAGTTCAGTAGATCACGAGGTAATCAAAGATAAAACTCCTATTCCATTTTTTCTGATATTCTCTCCACACCCGTTTGCAATTTCTTTTGTGTTATTTGAAAGCCTCTGTATACTGCAGTCAGTTCCCAGGTCTGTAGCTGTTCTGATCAAGCTTTTCCTTTTGAAAACACACACACAAAAAAAACCCCAAAAGACCCAAAAGAGACAGTTCTTCAGACCATAGGTTTTGCTTGGGAAAAATAAGACCAACTTTGTAAATAGGCTTTGTTCTAAGTTGATCTAAGAAAAAGGAAACTTCATATTCCTTTAGGAAGACAGTAAGGGAATACTAAGTACTTGTTTTGTTCTTAACTCTTTACCTAATAATGCCTAACATGCTATTTGTTTTTCTAGCAAACATCTATTACGTCTTCACAGAATTATCTATTATAGCTCCAGCATCTCCTCCAGCCTAATGTAATGTAGTTTATTGTCCACCCTCATTACCCACAACATAAACGTTAGGCCTGCTTTTGCCCCTTCACATGTGTTGGGGGAGCACATACTAACATCTAATACACTTTATATTAACGCTGTATTTCACCTGCTGCTTTTATTATCCTGTCACTTCAGGCTGCAGGCTGGCTTTGCACTTTTTCGCTGTTAGCTCTCATCTTTCTTGCAGCACCATTCACCACTTTTTTTCCAAGTCACTTACGTGTATATTAAACCGTCTTCGCTAGCTATTAACCCCATCTCTAAAAATAACCTGTGGGATTTCATAGGTGGTTTTCCTCCACTGGTGAAACTGATGACTAATTCCTGTTTTGTTCCTGTATTGTTAACCAGCTATTTATTCATGCAAGGCCTTTAATGACAATTTACTTCTTTTATGAGAAGTAGACCAGACCAAACTCAAGTAGACCAGAACTACCTGATCTCCTTTACCTTCACGTTCACTGATTTCTTCAAAGAATATTTACAGGTCTGTGGAACGGGATTTCCTCTTGTGAAATCACAAGTCCTATTTACCCATTTGTCCAGCCCCCCTCGGCTGTACTATGGCTCCTACCAACTTGCCATATGGACATTACTGGTCTGAAGTTCCCTGTATCCCCACAGAATGCTTTCTAAAAATTAGTGTCATATTTGTGACCTTCCATTCCTCTAGCGCTAAGGCAGTTTTAAGTGAAAAAATACAAAAGTACGGTTCATAGTTCAGCCATTTCATCCTTGAATTTCCTTAGAACTCTTGGATGAATACCATCTGTCCTGTCATTTTGTTTCAAAACCTTTTACACTTGGATTTGAGACAGATGCTCCACCATGCCTCCCCCATTAAAAAGTTCTGTCATGAAAACTTCCTGAAGCGCCACTACGAGGATTTAAAAAAAAAAAAAAAAAAAAGTAGTTTTCTTTTCCTGAAATCTTCTCTAGGCATTGCTACTATATCTTGACCACCTATAGTCCCTAGGACTGCTTGGCAGGTCTCCTGGTTCTGATGTGTTCGAAAGTTGTTATTAATCCGTGTGTTTTCTCGCGTTGCTCTGATGCTATTTTTCCCTGCCACACAGGGCTGCGTCTGGCCTGTCGGGACGCAGGTTTCTTCTAGTTTATTGGTTTAGAAATAACTTCAACTTTTTAAAGACTGCTTTCCTACATTTGTTATTCTCTCGTACCTGCTCTTTATCCACCTCAGTCTTATTTTTGGTGGTCTTTTGGTCTGCTTTACTGGGTGGTATGCCTTTTTGCTGGACCTCTAATGCAGCGTGAGCAGTCTCCCTGATGCCTGCAACCATTTTGGGCGTCCCTTTTAGTTTTGATTTGAGACAGACCTCCCAGTTCACCTCCAGTGAAAAGTTTCCAGTGAGTAATTTCATGAGATTGCCCGTATTGAACACGGATGTGAAAAACTAATTTAGCTTTTCTTCTATGGCCTTATCTTTTCTGAACATTCCTGTTGCACTTTGATCACTTACTAGTCCTTTCCAGTGCTAGTTCGTTCAGTGCTCACAGATGGGCATTATCTGAACCCCCTGACCTGACATACCGTACTTCTTAAAGCTTCATTTGAAAGTAGTAATTTCCACATGCTCTTTGCCATTTGCCTTTAATCTGTATTCAACATCCTTCTTATCGAAAGGACAAAATATTATCTTCAAAAATTGCTAATTACCTTTAGTCATGACATCATTCTTAGTTGATGGATCAGCTTGATGCAGAGCTTTGCCGTGGCTTGCTGCAGCTCATGCTGACACGGCGTGCGCACAAAATGGTCTGTGTAATGATGTGGATCAGGCTAGTAGCGCGGTGCGACAGACTGTTTTTGCAATGAAGATCTCCAGCAGTCAGGATATATTTGCAAATGAGATCACAAACAAAAGTAACCCACAGGTGGCTTTTCGTAGAGC